TTCCAAAAGAGGACATAATGTTTTTATAAAGTGGGGCAGTTCCAACTTTGCAAGGACAGTCAGGCGCTTCTGACTCACAGCCTGTAAATACATTTTTTATATTTAAAGAATTTGCCACTGATGATTCAAACGCGAGTTTTGAGCAGTGTAGAGTAGCGCTTGTTCTTTGTCATTTCTCTGATCACAAATGCAGACATGGTTTTATGTTTACGCGGCGCAATACGCAACGCGTAAAAACACAGTATAAGTCATTATAATCAGTAATTATGTCCCCACTGGATGCAACAAATGCCTCGTTTGTAATGGGTTTTATTGGTTTTGTCTCGTCGCACCGGGACACACGGCATCACAGTATGGTAGGGGCGTAACATTTCCGTCACACGCTTGAGGTATTCGGCCAATCACAATGCACTGGATAGCTGGCCAATCAGAGCACACCTCGCTTTTCAGAACAAAGAGTTTTGTAAAAATCGACGTGTTTCATAAAGGCGGGGCATAGAGGAGAAACAATAATGTACATTATGTGGAAAATATTGTGTTTTTTGAGCCTTAAACCGCATAAACACATTACATTACACCAAATGCACAAAATAATGTTATTTTTAGCAACATCATATGACCCCTTTAATTAAGGTTACATGGAATTTTACCTGGAATATCTTTACCTGGAATGTCCTGGATGCTGATTGGTCAATACACAATGTAACCTAGTAATTTAATATAATATCAGCTAACTGAGCAGGTTTTTGTTACACCAAACACCCTTTAAACTTAGCTGCTATTAACCTTAACTAAGTAGGCTTACATGTTAGGAATACTAGGCTAAACATTGATATTTTAAAAGGGTCATATGATGCGACTTCAAGTTTTCCTTTCTCTTTGGAGTGTTACAAGCTGATTGTGCATAGATAAGATCCCTGAAGTTGCAAAGACTAAAGTCTCAAAACCAAAGAGATATTCTTTATCAAAGTTAAGACTCTGCCACGCCCCCCTAAAACGGCTCGTTCTAACACGCCCCCACATATCTACCTCACTATGTGGAAATATTAGCATAATGCTATTAAATCCTTATATTTGATATATTTAATATTTATGTTTAACATTATTTATTACTATAATATTAATAAGCATTTTTTACATTTACAATTTATTACAATATTATATTTTAATATTCTTTTTAATATGGCGTTTTACTAAAAATGTGCATTTTAATATATAACATTCTTACATTTAATATTTATGATACATTAAAACTTACACTTAAACATTTGTAATATTTAAAATATAAAAATATAACATTGTAATATATTTATACTGTGTTAATACTTAATTTTTCTTTTTCACAGAGTATGACTGACAATAGTTTGTTCTCTATTATTTCTTATATGATTTACATGGCCAAAAGTAATAATGTTTTACTAAACATTGATATTTTGATGTATTAAATCCTTATATTTAATACATTTAATATTTAATTTAATAATACATTAACATTTACATTTAAACATTTGCTATATTTACAATTTAATACAATATTACATTTTAATATTTATTTTGGAATCATACATGTACATTCTTATTTAGGAAATATATACAGCAATAATTCTAATTACTAAAAATTTGCAATTTAACATATTAAATTCTTAAATTTAATATTTATGATACATAAAAATTTACATTTAAACATTTGTAATATTTAAAATGTATTACAATGTTATAATTTAATATGTCTTAATATTTAATATCACTTTTTCACAGAGTCATGGCTGACAAAATAGCTTGGTCTCTTGAACCCTATTATTTACATAGCCTCATTATTAAATATTACGAAAGCAGTTAAAAAACACAACAGAAAAATTACTGGCAAGATGACAGATAAACAATGGAAAATTGGAGAGGTAAATTAAACCCTTTCCCTCACAGTCACCTTTAAAATATTTCTAACACTACAGGAGGAAGACATTTATATCCTGTCAGTGAGAACAGCATTTAAGCAATCTGAAATGTTCAACTGACAGACTAGTAATGAAGATCTCTGGAGTCTAATGAAGCTGAGCTGGACCTCAAAGATTGAACTGAAAGGAACGAACATTTTCAAAACTTCAAGAGAAAGAGACTGGAAACTCTGTTTGACCCGAGGTGAGAAGTGGAAAAAGATGTTTAGATGGTCTATATTTACTTCATACTGCAGATGATAAAGCACTCAAAGTTATTCTGCATGACTGTGTTTCAGAAGGATAAAACATATTTCTGTCTAGGTGTGAAATGTATGCGACAACCATTGGCAAAATGTTAATTCATTCAAAATTAATCTTTAATTTATGTAGCCGCCTACATCCTGGATGTCAAAATTGTACATAAGGAACAAGAAAAATGAATCAAAGGACAAGAACAAGAATCAAATGACATATGGTGCAAAGTGTGGCTTTGGAGCTCTGTATCATAAAAAGCACAAACTATTTAGATTCACACCTTTTTTTCTAATGTTTCTGTATCTGGAAGTGCACCACTTGAAAGTATAAACAGCTTTCAGGACGTTTGATGTAATGAGTTCCTCATATAATAGACTTTAACAAAAAATATTCTCAATAGGCAATTGATTTTTAAGAATAACTTATTAACCTTTAAAAAGATAGACCTGCTGTGAGGTAAGAGGTTTTTAATCGATGGTATATGCTTTTGTTGAAGCAATCAGCCTGCATTATTCCAACTTTTTTTTTAAATGCATTTAACGGCCCAATTCCTGGTGAAAAAAAACTATAACCATGACTCTGCAGAGATATCTCCACCAATCAAATGAAACAAAAGATGCATCAAAAGAACACTTCAGTTCAATGTAACACTGTAAATAATGTAATAGAATCTTCCCTACGCTTTTAAACTACTTAAATATATTGCTTATTTTGATTATATCATTTGCAATGCTTCATGGGATTGTAGTTCTTTCCCTCATTAAAGCCATTATGTAAACAGTCATGTACCTTTTGACTTTTGTCCAATTTTCAAATACTTTTTTGCTTCAAATGTTGTGATTCACATCGTAGCTGGTTGGTTTGATTTGATTGACACAGGTTGCATGATTGCCCATTTTTACTCTCTGCACTTAAAGTGATGCAATGTGACAAAACTAGAATGCAATAAAACTAGTGATAAACTAACCAAGCCGTTAACTATTACTGCAACCCCTATCAGTCATTTCTTGCTCCTCTTCATCTTCTAAACAATGTTCACTATAGAACCACAAATAAACTCCTACAGTGTCCACAAGTCCCTGGTGGCACACTTTGGCGTATGCAACAAAAATGCCTCCACAGAACCCGAAAAGAGATGCTTTGATATGAGCACAATGGCCAGTGAATGACAATAGAGAACTTTGATCAGCCAACCCAGAGTCCTCCACATGTGCAAGAGCGACTATCAGACCCAACTTCAAAGAGCTGCTTCCCATCCAGCGCAATTAATAGAGCGGAGAGTCAACTGATATGATATGATGATCCTATTAAGACACGATAGGCATGTCCTATTCTAAAAGAAAAAGAAATTAAAGAGAAAGTGATGAAAGCAAGAAAGAGGGTGACTGACCATGTAAGATATGAAAGGTAAAAGCACTAACTCCAAAAGCTTGTTTGATGAATATACTGTACATTGATGCGGTCTGATTCAGCGGACCATCTGTTGTGCCTGTTCGTTATCCTCTGGAAACATTGCATGCCTCATCGTACCATTAAACAAACATGAAAGACATGAATAAACATAAAAAGTGACAGTCTGAAAGAAAAAAAACAGCGTGGAGGTAGGTAAAGCAATTGAACAAAAGCCCACTCAAGCAGTACTCCACATACAGAAGTCAGCCAATCAATTTTCAATAATTTATCAGCTGACCAAAGCACAACGCTCCAGGCATTTCTCCTGTGGGTGTTTAAAAAAACTCTCTTCTTGGATCTGGGATTTCTGTAGGTTGGTTCAACAGCTAGGAGAAAAGAGACACTAAAGAATATCACTTTTTTTAAACTTTCCTTCAGGCACCATTTATAATCTCACCATTAAAAACGCAGTTGGAATTGACAGATCTTACATTGTGCACAGACTTGGGCTTCAGATTTCGGTTCAATCCAGCCTGAAGATTATCATGTTTGATATTTTGAGCATTTGTTTTTTGTTTGTTTCCATTCGTCATGCATCTAACAGCAAGATGTGTTTCTGCATGAGTTCGTCATGTTCAGAACGCTTTGAGAGTCTGGTAGTGCGTGATTCTCAGTCATTTAGTGTATGATGCCAGTTTTTTCTCTGTAAGCATTTACAAAGTCAGCAAGAGTATGATGCCTAATGTTTTAAAATCATCATAAAAACAGTCATGTAGTGTATTCCAGCCTTTAGTCACACTTGCTTTCGGACGAGATCCACATAACTTGAAAAAAGGCACTTAAAAAGTGCATTTCCTTCCCCGGATTTGAGCAAGAGATTTGGCAGAGATATATCTTTGGGTTGGGTTGAAAATTCAAGCGCAATAAGGACAGCCAGGCAGCTATGCTGTAAATACAGATGCACCTGCTAACTGTTTATCTCCCACACTTTTTGCACACATATAAGCAGTCCAACTGATAAATGTCTGAATATGCCTACTCCCCTACTATATACAGTAGTAGGCACAAACAGTATGTGAAAACACTAGTCTGTAAGAATTCCTAGTTGGAGAAAAGTACCTGGAGGACCTACTACTTCCAAAAAGTTCCTCAAGTGAGAACTTGACAAAAAAATGGCAACACCTTAAATTAAATGTAAAATTTAAGTAAAAGTGTTTTTTTGTACAACACGTCAATAATCTTTGCTTAATTTACAACTTTCGAAAATGTTTTTTACAGTGTATATAAAACAAGTTTTTAATGGTTGTGAAGTTAGTTCCTCATCAAAACACCAGCTGTAATCATATTGGTCACATCCTAATGGCCAAAGACTTTGAAAGTCTATTTGAAATAGAAATGAAAATCAGAGAGTCTTGCCTCATAGTAACTGCGCACAGCGTTGCAGAAAGCCTCATCTGCGACGATCTGCATCTCTCCTTTCAAGAAGGCCTGGAAACGCTCCTTCACCACCTGCAACTGCTGCTTGTTCAGCTGAAAACAGAAAAGAGAGAAAACAAGAGTTAACTGAAGATCTATCAGTGGCATCTCATTTTCTTTAGCATAAATAAATAACCATAGGAAAACAGAGTTTATGATAATGCTCACTGTAGCACCTCTTCTGGCAACACTAAGTATGCAACGCAATTCTGTTGAGCATGTGTCAATATAAAAATGCCATTTTCTGCTAAATTATGTTATTCTTTAACTGCAGTTCACTTCTAAAATGGCTTTCCATGAGTACAAATATCCTCATTTTACTTGTTTGTATTCATAAATGTTGTTTTTGTCGTGTGCGTTATTGATGTTTTGGTAATGAATAATGAGTGGGAAAACACAATTATTTTCCCATCCTTTAATGTGCTTCCAAAGCTGATGTAAAATCAGCAGGCACTACAGAACAAATGCATCGATAATGTTTTAGAGGAAAAACATCTTTATTCAAAATAGCAATATTTTTCTTCAGAAAAACAAAATTCTGCTTGGAAAAAAAAAACATTAGTCATAGCCTTTGATGTTGTTTGGAGGGGGTTATTTCTAATCAAATTTACCCACAGGGAGCTTAAAAAATCAGGACTATTAACTGCTTTTCTTAGCCATAATCATAGTTATGACTCATAAATTGACATCCAGGATGGCTATTTTGAAAACCGGCTTTGGCAGAAACTTTGTCTTGAGTTGGAAATAGAAGAAACCGTTGGGTAACTGTGCAACAACACAAAAATGCATGTAGCGGTTTTATGGTTCCCACAAAAATATTAAACAGCACAATTGTTTTAAACATTGATAATTAGAAATGTTTATTGAGTTCACTAATCAGCATATTATGCCCCGTCCACACGGAGACGCGTTTAGCTGTATACGCATACATTTTGTATCGTATAGGCGTTTCGTCCAGACGGATCCGGCATTTTGGAAGAGTGAAACCGAGATTTTTTAAAACCCGGGTCCCAGAGTGGATAAATCTGAAAACGCCGCCCTTGCATTTTCGTGTGGACAGCGAATCCCTATATTTTCTGAATCGATGACGTAATCAGCCCACGTCTCGCCCCTAGTCAGACACTGCTACGTCACGTCACGTAACGGCAACAAAAACATGAACAAACACTGAACGATTGTCTTTTTATTAACTAACATTAACACAGATTAATAAATGTATTGTTCCATGTTCGTTTGTATACGATACGCAACGCATAAAAAGACACAAATTAAAAACATCATTAAAATCAGTAATTATGTCCCCACTGTAGGGATGTAACAATTCACTCAACTCACGATTCGATTTGATTCGATTCACGATTATTATTATTCTTTTTAACAAAATGAGATTTAAGACAAATTATAAATTAAATGTGTCCTTTTATTATTGCTTGGACAAAATGCTGCACATTTCTTTGTGAAATTGAAATATAACACTATAATAATATACTAATTTAGCACTTACATATTATTGCTCTTTTGTTGGTTTTGATTGCTTCTATTGTCCTCATTTGTAAGTCGCTTTGAACAAAAGCGTCTGCTAAATGACAAAATTTAAATATAATGTAAATGTAAATAACAAAACTACATTGAAATTTTAAAACAAGCCCCAAATCAAATAAATAAGTAACACAAATCAAATAAATCTCCTCATATAAACAAAATAAGGCTTTGTCTGTGCTCTTTCCATTTAAAATTTCGCTTTTCAGAACGATGAGCTTTGTAAAAATCAACGTGTTTCAGAAAGGCGGGGCATAGAGGAGCAACAATAATGTACAATATGTGGAAAATAATGTGTTTTTTGAACCTTAAACCGCATAAACACATTTTATTACACCAAATACACAACATAATTTTCTTTTTACCAATGTCATATGACACCTTTAAATATTTTTCCAAACCCAAAGTTTTGAATGTGCTTTTAGGTACACAATCAGATTTTCTCCAATATATTTTCAGTAGAAAATGTTTATATGTTGTACAAAGCATAAACGATGAATAAAAGTCAGATTTGTTTGCACATACAGTGGGGCAAAAAAGTATTTAGTCAGCCACCAATTGTGCAAGTTCTCCCACTCATGTAAAGATATCAAGTTGCACACCTTATCTCACAAATCACTCTTGAAGGACACCAAATTCTAAGGACATAAACTGTAATTTCAGATGTAAACACTATTATATTAACATATTTTAGAAATTCAAGATGCATCGTAATAGAGTATAAAGCACCCGTAGACCCTGACTGTGATCCTGAAAAGCAGTGAAGTTGTGTAGCAAAATGCTCTGTTTACTTTCCTTCCTGTTAAATGCATGGTGAGCCCACAGGCAAATGTAACAGACATTAAATGTGCTACGACAGTCAACAGTTTTATAAATCACTGTAAATTCTCAAATCCCCACCGAGTTGTTGCAACCTATGGGACATCCTTAATTTGATGGCATGATGAATCTGTCGAACATCTGAAGCTATGCCTCATGAAGTCTTTGAATTAGCATTCTAGCACACATCCGTTTCTAAATACAAACAGATCCCATGCAGATTCAAAGACATACTGTAGCTAGAGTTGTTTACAATGTTGAGAATACGTTTCTGGTTGCAGATACTGTTAGCGCTTTAACCAGAGGTGGTCATTAATAAGTGCAATAGAGCACTTGTCTATGTCATCAGCACCAAGCTACAGCACAGTGCTTGTACTTCCTCCATGTAGCACTCGCTGCTGTCTCGCTTTCAATGGCTTATTCACTTTCAGTTATGATTGATTTGGCCTTGTCTCTTTGTGAGCCAGCAATTCACTCTCTCTTGTTTGTAAGTAGGGCTGCACGATAAATCGCATACGATATTTAACGTGCATCTTATCAGTAAAGCTGGTTCTGTAATCAGCGGTAAATCTGGCTGCGCATTAAATATGAGAAAGCCTAACCTGAAAGTTTGAAGCAGTTGTAAAAGCTTGAAGTTTGAAAGTTTAGATAGATAAGTTAGACAGATGTTTATAGCATGTTGCAGCACAATTTAATACATTGTTAACGATTTAACATGTTGCTAGCATGATTAACATGTTGCTAACATGTTGATAGTATGTTTCTAGTAGGGCTGCACGATAAATCGCATGCGATATTTAATGTGCATCTTGTCAGAAAGCCGGTTCTGTAATCAGCGGTAAATCTCCATCACAAAATATACAGTACCTGTACATACAAAAACTGTCTATTGTAATATACCTGCACATACAACTGTCAATTTATATATTTTTATTCCTTATTTACTTGTTCTATTTTTTATTATGTGTTTTTTGTTCTGTCACTGTCATTCTGTTACACTGTGGAGCTTCTGTCACCAAAACGAATTCCTCGTCTGTGTAAGCATACCTGGCAATAAAGCTCATTCGGATCACCTGCGTGCTTTCACATTGAGCAGCATTAACTACACAGAGCCGTTGTTCACTGAGCTGCGCAAAACATGCGCGAATATGAATGTGGTTTTGCGCAGCTGGTCAGTGAACAACGGCTCTGTGTAGTTAATGCTGCTCAATGTGAAAGCACGCACGTGATGGAGATTTACCTCTGATTACAGAACCGGCTTTACTGATAAGATGCGCGTTAAATATCACATGCGATTTATCGTGCAGCCCTAGTTTCTAGCATAAATAGCATGTTCCAAACATGATTACCATGTTGCTAGCGTGTTTTAACATGATTAGCATGTTGTTAACATGTTCTTAGCATGATTATCATGCTACTAGCATGTTTTAAGCATGATTTATATGTTTCTAACATGATTATCATGTTGCTAGTATGCATGTTGTTTGATTAGCATGACTGACAAGTTTTAGTATGTTGACAGTATAATTTATCATGTTGTCCTAGGATAGTCATTAAGCTTTGCTAGTGATAGACGGCTTAAACACTTTGCAAGTCTTATTGTACAAATGTTTTGACCCCCTCAATGAAAGTCTATGGGACTTTTCATAGTTTTGATCGTCTGTTTCATAAGTCAAATTTTCATAAGAAAATCATAAGTCGGATAAGACTCGCAACCCGAGTCATACAGGTCTTAAGGTCTAACCTGAGTTTGGTGGTTCTAGCTTGAAAAATCTAAGAGGAGATACAGTCCAACTTGTCTCAGAAGAAGAAGAAGCTTAAACAGCATTGACTAGGATGTAATAGCATGACTTCTGTGAAAAGGGCATTATAGTATTTTTTACAGTATATTGGCTGGTGTGCAAGTGGTTTTTCGAGGGTCTCCAGAAGGGTTCATGAAAATGTAGAATAAAAAAATACACGGAAGTACATGCATGCTATTTGTACATAGTGGTATACAGTGGACATGTATGACTTGATTCTAAGCCAAATTATATAATGAATGTAATAAGAGACTCGCAAAGACAGCTAAGTAGTGGAATCAAACTGTCCAACAGTCGTCAAGATATCAGATTTTCACAACACGATTATCATGGCCAAAAGAACTGTGTTGGAGTGTCAACCAGATACTGTGGTATACTGCGATACAGGTACTGTATATTGCGCCATCCATAAAATCAAACCTAATATTTCCAAAGCGAGTGTAAAATCAGCATAGGACAACCTGGTTGCTGGAGACGTAATTCACATGAGAAGGACAGAAATCAAAAGTTTACTGGTTTGTGGCGCTAATAGTAAAAACATCAGCTCAGGGAAAATCTCTCAAATGGTGACTGTAGTGGGCGAAAGCATTTTAGCCTTAGAGTTCAGGTTTACTCTAGTTCACACACCCACCCAAAAACACACAAAGCACTTAATAAACATCATTAATGCTCCCAAAGGGTTCTGAGGGCATGAGACCACCTCATCTAGTGTATATATATAGCTGCTCACTAAGTACAGGTTTGTGAGTTTCTTTTTGTTTCTTTTGCTATTATATCACAAGCCTGTTATACAGATGGTCTCCATTTTCTCAATCTTAAAATTAATGTTTCTTTTGTTCTCCTTCCATTGATGGCATTTTGCTTTTGCCACTCCCTGAGCATGACAACCCCTTC